CCCTAATATGGTAAGAAACTACACATGCAAGTCCAGGAAGCACAGATTCCCAAACAAGATGGATGCAAACAGGTACAAACTAAGACACACCATAATTAAAATGCCAAAGGTTAAAGATAAAGAGAGAATCTTAAAAGCAGCAAGAGAAAACAAGTCAGTTACCTACAGGGGAGTTCCCATAAGACTGTCGGTTGATATCTCAAAAGAAATTTTGCACCCTAGAAGGAATTGGCAAGAAATGTTCAAACTCTTGAAAAGTGGGGACCTATAGTCAAGATTGCTCTATGCAGCAAAGATATCATTTATAATCAAAGGGCAGAGAAGAGAGAAGAGAAAAAAGAAAAAAGAAAAAAGAAGAGAAAAAAACTAAAGGAGTTCATCATCAACAAACCATTATTATATGAAATGTTAACAGATCTTATCTAAGAAAAAGATCAAAACTATGAACAATAAAATGGCAATAAATACATACCTATTTACAATTTAACCTAAAAAACAAATTTAGCAAACAAGAAGAATAGAGACAGAATCATGGATAAGGAGTGCGTTTTGATTGTTGCCAAACCAATGCAAAAATCAAAGGAGGGGATTGTGGGGGAATGGGTGAACAGGTGAAGGGATAAATTGGTAGTTACAGAATAGCCATGGGGATGTAAAGTACAGTATAAGAAATGGAGTAGCCAAAGAACTTATACGCATGACCCATGGACATGAACAATGGTGTGGGGATTGCCTGAGGAAATGGGGGCACTGTGTGGAAGGGGACAAAAGGGGAAAGATTATATCAATAAAATATAATTTAAAAAATTTATCAAATCTACTTTTTAAATGTCTTTGGAATCCAAACCAATTTTCTCATCCTCACTAATACTTAGTTCATGCCCCTATCATTTTTAATCTGGAAAGTGCAACAGGCTAAGTAGACTCCTGTCTTCCTGTCTTGTTTCCCTTAATTCCATCTCCTACTGCTCAAGAATTACATTTCTAAACCAAAGATCTAATCACTTTAGTGTTCTGCTTTACCCAGGTCACCTGGTAGCTTTTCATTGCTCACTCCTCAGAAGGGCATTCAAGGTTCTTTGACAGTGGGGTCTCAACTTATCAGTCCGCTCTCAGGCCCTGCTACCTCCTTCCATACGAACTGTACTCTATCAAATTATTCACAATTCCCAAAACGTGTCAGGCTTCTGCACATGCTGTTTTGGCTGCTGGAATGTCCCTTTAACTATCTTTTCATCCGGTGAACATTTTACTCTGCCTTCTACATGCAGTTCAAATGCCATAGCCCCTATGAAATCTGTGAGAACCATCACAGATAAAGTTTGTTGCTCACTGCCTTGAGATGCAGCAGAGCTTGGTGCCCTACCCTGTTTCAGCATGGTCTATATTGCATCATAACAAGTTGTGTGCATTCTGTCTCTTATAATTATTGATTATCTTGGAGAAAAAAAATGTAACTTATCCATTGGATTTTGTTTAAACTTGGCATTTAGTAGATACTCATTTGATCAATTTGTAAGACCAATATAATCTAAGGCAATACATTTGGTCTAAAATTAAACAAATGAAAGTTTGGAACTGTTTAGTTATATATCCAAAAAGGGACTTAACATTCATAGAAAGATATGGGTGCAGTGAAAAAGCAGACACAAATATAGAAAACATTACTAAGAGGAGGCTCAATGAACATAATTTCAGTTATTTTGTGGGACAAAAAAATATTATCAAAGTTGGTCTCTTCTTCACAGAAAACATATTCCCTGATTCTTAATGTTTCTGCTCCTCTAAAAGTGATCAACTATATCACTCTTTATCCAAGTTCCATGTTATCTCTCTTGTTACTTCAAAACTAGTGCCTACTTCCCAAGGAATCTCTAACTTCAGGTTCTCCTTGAGCATGCTTAATTATTTTTTCTATCCTCAACAATTTGTTTTATTAACTTGCTTCTTTGAACTATAATTGTCTCCATCAACTATATGAAACTCTCAATTTCAACCATCATGACTGACCTACATTTTGGGGGGGGGGCGGGTGGGATTTCAATTCTTTAGCTCAGTTTTCACAGATATATTTATGTCAATGATCCAGTGCCACTTTAAATTTTAAATTAATATATATGTACAGTTTTTCCCAATTTATTAACCTTTCCTAATTGTTTCATTTGAAGTGCTCTATTAGCTTTTTGGTCTAATAATCTTATAATCTAATGAGTATTTCTGATTTTTCATAGAGATCATAGACATTATGCATGGTTCCATTCTTGCATTCACCATCTTTCTATCAATTTCAAAATCCAATAAGCCATTTCCCTGCCTGATTATTTTGCTACATGCCTATAAAATAACCTAAAGAGCCCCTTGCCTCTTAGCCTCTCCTTTCCAATCTCTCCTTGGCAGGTGCTATCTGCTCTCTTCATCTCAGGTTTCACCCCAGCTTGGATTCTCTGTCTTACCAGACACATGACGACTCACTCCCACCTCTAAGCCTTCACACATGCCATTCCTTCTGGCTGGAATGTCCTCCCTCTTGCTCTCTTCTGTTAAGCCTTGTTATTCTCTGTCTCTTTAAGATATGTCCTCAACAAGGTCTGCCTTAAATAATCCATCTCCAGTCCCATTCTTTCTATTTTTTCCAGCATCCTCTTCAGGTTATATATTAGCATCTCTCTAGCCCTGCTAGTTTTTATTCCTGTTTTTCTCCCCATTCTTCACCTGAATTTGTATTTATGACACCAATTAGCAATACAACTATAGTTTCTACTTCCATATCTTCTCTGGCTTCTAAAACCATCCATTCTGTGTGCTCACTGGGCATTGCTGTCTGCTGGGGGGTGGGGGGAACAAACTAAAATTGCAGCAGGAGAGATTAAACTAGAAAAAGAAAGTAGATGGAAATTTTCCATTTCTGGAGAATATCATGGGCTCCCATCTGTTTTAGGTGGTTTCCTTGTATGATGATTCAGATTCAGATTCACAGAGAGTGTCCAAACTGTGATAATAATCCCATTTGATTTTCTTTCACCTTTTTGCTCTGTCTCATATCAGGTTCAGGCTCAATTCCCTCCTCTACTGCCCACCTTCACCCACCTTTCACTGGAAACTCCACTTAGATCTCTTAACAGTTTGAGAAATCAGCCTGGACAAAATGTCTTGGAAGCACCTACCAGTTACTTCCCCCATTTTTTATACACTGGGGAGAGAATAAATTATTCCACCCCTAGGGATCACCCTTCCTTTTTTCCACTCTAACAGATATTCCTAGCCCAAAATATCCTTCCAGCCCTTCTCAGAAAGAGGTGTTTGAGTGCTTTTGGCACCATCTGAACACTGGAGCATCTCAGCTCCTCCTTTACAGGCACCTATCAAAGATCTCTACTTAGAGAGGGTCCTACAGTTTTCTCTCCATGCACCAGCCAGGGGATGCTGAAAGACCACGCATTTGAGCAGAGAAACTTGTAGTGCTTGATTTGAACACAATGAGAAGCACCATTGCCGCTCTGTCTCTGTTTTTGGGGGTGGTGGTTGGGGCGGGGGAGGGGGGTTGGAGTGGTTTTATTTATTTCCTGCCCTCCATTATCAGGCAAATATAAATTTCGGCTGAGCGTCTCGACCATCCTCCCATCTTATTTCTCCTCAGATTTGTCCTCCAAGCAGGTGGGACCAAGGCGTCTTGGAACTGGGGGGTAGAAGGAGGCAGCACAATTACTTCCTTTACCCTCCCATTTCCCAACTTCAACTGTGGTTCAAGGTCACTCACTGCTGCAATTCCTCTATGATTGAATTAAAACTCTACGCATTTTCCGAATTCTGGGTTCTCCTCTTTTTGATTCCCAGCCCACCGACCCCGGAGGCTGGCTCTGTGCTCTGAAAGCCTCGCCACCCTCTTACAAGCCACCCTCTTACAAATCGGTGTCTCTCTGAGGCTCCGTAACCTGGCCTGTGCACCAGCTCACCTGCCCACCGACTCCCTGCTTCCTCCCGCCCCCAGTAACCTTTGTGGGGCAGGTTTTGCTTACACGCCCGCCTGCTCAGAGGAGCTAGCGTGCGAGGTGGCGGTGGCACGCTTGGCTCCGGGCCAACAAACTTCTCCGGGACCCTGCAGCGACCTAACCGGGCTGCGCAGCTCCGCCTGCCTCCTCGCGGCCCCGGCGGCGCCGGCGCACTGACGGCGGTAGCAGCGGGATCTCACGCGAAGACGGCGGGGCTGTGTTTGGAGCACCGGACCGGGACATTCCCGCAGCAGCGGCAGCGGTGGTGGCGTCTGCAGGGACGGCTGGGATGGCGGCAGTGCTCGGTCCAGACGCGCTGCGAGTGCTACAGGGTAATTAGTTTCAGGACCGGACGCACCGGAACGAGCCGGGACCAGATGGGGCCGGGGGCGGCCGGATCCTGGCATCCCGAGCTCGCGCCCCCTGCGAAGTGGCACTCGGGAGAAATACCCGCAGGTCGAATAAGTAACAGTGACCGGAGAGCGAGGCACCGGAATCTGTCTCCTCGCTTCCCGGGGTAACATCTCTAGACATAAACTAAAAATTAATATCTAATGGCATGAATATTTATTTTCATTTTGTTTTGTGCAACTGACACCATGGATATTTTTATTCTGTGTTATGATGTCTGTTTTCACCCGCATCAGCAGTGTTCATAGTTCCGCTTTACAAAACACACAGAGCCAGAAAAACCACCTAGAACAAAAGTATAAAATATATAGCCTGCATTATGTGAACGTATGAATATGAACTACATTATATGTAGCATATTAAAGTGGCCACATCGTGCCAGACGTTTTTGGTCCCATTACAAAGCTACCTATGCGAATGCGTAATTTGCAGGTGTGTATTATTTATTCACCAAAATATATGTACATGTGTAGCACAGTTTTTACATTTTCTTGAAAAGCAGATGCACACTAATGACCAGAAACATGAGCAGATGGCATAGAATCGGCATGTGTGCGAGAGATGGAGTGAAAGGACCGGTCGCAAAGCTGCGCAGCTTACCTTGAACGTGTGTTTGACCCCCTCAGAGGCGCAGTGGAGTCCGAGCACGGCTGCCGCACCGCCGAGGAGTGGCCCGAATAAGCTCCCTGTGAGTGGGGAAGGGGGACGCATCTCTGCCCTTATTAGTCTCTCCCAGTGTGACCCTCCCACTCGGCGAGAACGGAGGACTCCGCAAGACAGGACTCCACCAACTCATGCACAGGTTTTCTTTAATTACAGCAATGTCGTCTTTGAGCTGGGAATAATGCCCTTCAGGTTTATGTTTTATTAGCAGTTTCAACAGATAGAATGATGGTCGGATGCCAGGTGCTCAGGGTTTCTCACTTCTGATTACGAAATGTCTTCAAAGTATTCTATGTGGCATACATTCACAGGTAGATAATTGGCTTTTTAACAGTTGAGCTAAAAAAGGATAGCATTTATGCTTCATTTTTCACTTTTATGTCAGGAGTTTATATAAAGTTAATGAAGAGAGCCTGCCTGCCTTCCAGTCATGCGCCTGTGTACAGGTTTGTGTGGCTTGGTTTGTCTCAGTGCACAAAACGATTTTGTGATTTTAAATATCATATCTTTCTGTGGCTTGGTGTTTCAAATCCTGGGTTTTGAACTCTTTGGGATTGCTTTAAACATGTGAAGGTTACATTTTTCTATAAATTTCTGTGTGGGGTTTATATATGTACAGAGTGTATTCAATAAATATATGCACACATATATAGCAAGTACATATGTATATTGGTAGGTATATACATATGTGTATATACATAGAGTATATGTGGGTGTATATATATTGTATGTGTGTATATACATACACACATATACATGTTTGAAAGAAAATAAAACCAATATAGAATTTCAAAATGTAACCCAGTCATTAGAAAACAGATTAATTGATTTAGTATTTTTAAGTTCAGTATAGCCACGGTTGGGGAAATAGGATAAATTATATTATTGATCCATAATGGTGAAAATCATTAGGTTTAAAAGTTACGTTAAAACATAGAAATACGCTTCACATGCCAGGGCTCCGGTATCAGGAAATAAAATCGGGCTCACAAAAAATTAGAATTTTTAGGAGATAACTACCTTCCACTTCCTTGAAATGAAACTGTTAAAAGAATCACTCATGGTCTTTAATCCTATCTTACATCATTGTCAAAACACCTGTAGTTTTAGAGCTTTGCATCCATAGTGATGCAAGCCGTGTTTATATGTCAGGAATTGAAACCTCCTGATGTGTTTCCCTCTCATGTGATTTTCGTCACTAATTTTTGGTTGACAGTGGAAAGAGGCCAAGGAGGGAGGATAGCACATGAGTCACGCTGCTCAAATGGCTATTCGAAAACACGATCCACAAACTTCCAGCGTGCTTTTGCGGGTCATTTTGCTAATTTTTTAAAAAGTATTATCACTCTTTATTTTTTTTCTGTCTAAGCTATTGTACCTCACCTTTTAATTGTTAGTAAATTGAAATAAGAGCATCCAGGCTTTATTTCTGTAATAGCCTACAAAATTCACCTTATTCACATTTAATTGGTACTATTTAAAGTAAGGTAAATACCTCACCGGAAGTCCAAAATTTTGTCTCTAGTTTGTGTTTTAATGCAGGTAAACCAACTTTACATTTGAGGCATTATTTTCATGAACATTTTAATAATTTTATAATCTTTAAGATGTTTTTGAATTAGCCAAACATTGTTGTATTTTTATTTGTATCCTAAGTTGTGACTTCCTACTCACAACATGGACCAAAGATTTTGGAAGAAAGTGAGAAATGAATAAATAAAATTTAAAATAATTATTATCTGTTGCTTACTTTGTTCCTAGATACACCAACATCCCCAGATCAGTAAGTATTCCTGCATTTTTCTTTTAGGAAAGCGTTCTAATCTGGGCTGGTTTCATGACCACAAACTATTATACCCCAAGGTTATGGTCCTTTATGCAGCCTTTCCACTGAATTTTAAAGGGACTTCAAGTAGATGGAGTCTGTAACCAAGAGCCTTTTATTTAACCCAAATAAAATTGTAAGTGACCAGTCTTTCCACTGGCTTTGGAAGCTATCGCTGGTGAACAAACATCTGAAAATAATGGGAGAAAGAATCTGACAGGACTTTGAACCCTAGTGAACAGCTTGAGAGGCTTCTCATGCATGCATGTACTTAAAGATATTTTTTTAATTTCAAAAACAAACTGCTTTCAGCATTTATAACCTATGAAAGACATGCTTAACTATATTTATGCCAGTAAGGTAAATGAGGGATAAATTTCACTTAATGCATTTAAAAAAGCTGTTCCATATTTGTAATGCCCCACTTACATAATTGAAATGACTTATGATCTTGTACCAGATTTTGATAATGACCCAATAATAAATTTAAAGAATGTATTTTTCTAAACCTCATTTCTCATTCTTTTGTTTTATAACTCTTTCCTTTTTTCTCATTTTCTTCTTTTTTTGTACTTATGTAATCCCCAGCCATGTAGCTTTTTTTTTTCCATTTTGTAATTTATTTCACTTTTCTCCTCATTCATGGATTCCATTTTCCAAGAAGAAAGAATTTCAGCATTGCCCCCAGCTAATTTCTTAGTTACCAAACCATAAAAGTGTTCATTCTTTACAGAATTTATGCAGCACAGCCATACATGACTTCCATACATATCCCATGGACGTACTTCACTGCATCAGCAGTGGATGAACAGGCGTTACTGTTAACTGCAATTACCAAACCTGACTTGTCATCACTAACATGCATGTCCCATTCTATTCTTTTTAGGCTAGCTAGTACTACGTATGATATTCTGGAGAGTAAACACAATGTTGTCATATAAGTTGTAAATTTTTAGTCATCATTAAAGGTAACTTGGGGTGTTTTTAAAATTTAAATGCTATTTTTACCATGGTTTCTGAAAATAATTCTCTTCATAGCGAAAATAATATTTCACTGGCGGTTATGTTTGCTTCCATTCTTGGAAGACATTCTAGCTTGTGACATTGACTCAGCTCAGAAATGAGAGGAAGAGGTGATCCCAGGATCACCTCTTGGTCCCAGAGGGGACTTTCACTCAGTTTGTTAGACCCCCTCTGAGGGATCAGTGCCTCTGAGAGGAGATGTGTAGAAGGCCTGACTGGGGAAAATGTTTATTAATGCACAGCCAGTTCTCAAAAATCATTTTTAAAAATAAGAAAGAGAAATACCCCAATAGAAAAACAAGCAAAAATGTGAAGAGGCAATTCACAAGGGAAACACAATAAACATATGAAAAACTTCAACTTAATCAGTGTTCAAAGGAAAGCACATTTATAAAGGAACAATTTTTCTCCTGCCCATTGTGCGAGGATTAATATTAGTGATTGGTATATATGAGGAGCATTCTCAGCATCTCTAAATGGATCTTCGGTCTTTCTAAATTAGCTATGTGTATTAAAAGCTTTTAAAAAAATGCATATAGAATCAGCTTCATAAACTCCTGAAATAGTAACTGTTATTTCTGAGCTAAGATTATGGGAAATTTTGGTTTCTTCCTCTTGCTTATCTGTAATATATGATGTTTCTTCAGCAAACATGTACTACTGTTGGAATAAAAATATAACCAACAGGAAGAAGTGTGGAGTTTCATGTATCTCTGACAAATTCATGAAGCAACAGTGTTAAGAGAGCTAGGAAATCTGCCTTTCAAGTACTCTTTTCAATCATTTCCAGAGCAATCTTCTAGGTAAAAATTAGTATGTAACTTAAAACATTCACCTTAGTTTAGAGATTTCACAGGGAAGCAGATAATAGACTGTTCACTCATTCACCACATATTGTTGAATGCCTCTTAAGCACAGCACTGTAGAGTATATAAAGATAGGTTGGACATGGGCCCCACCTCCTGGAATTAACATTTGGTAAAAAGAAGGAGATATGTGTATGTATATAATGATAATACGAAATGAAAATACAAACTGCAATAAGCAAATCAGATATAAAATACTGAGAGTTCAAAGGAGAGGGGAAACTATGTTCACATGTGGAAATCTCAGGGTCAGAAAATTTCAGCGAACAAAATACAGACTTTTTTGTCAGTCACATAAATATACTTACAAATATCATAGAACTATACATGAAGGGCTATGTAGCTAAATATTTATTTGTTAAATGGTGAGCTTACTGTTTCTACTTTAACTATCTGTTCAAATCGATTAACAGCGAACCAGCCCACTTCCTCATTCAGATAAGGAACGTGAAGTATCTTATTTCCTACTGAATTAAATCCTTTCTCTGGAATTCAAGGCCTCAAACAGTGTAACTTTAATTTATTCTCTTCACTTACCTTAAGTGTATATCATCATGCCACATCAGATTAACTCCTTGTCACCACAGAATAAACATGTCCCATGTTTTCTCCACACTCGCATTCATGTCGCTGCCTTCTTTTGAACCATGGAGTGGCTATTAAAATTCTGCCAATCATTCACGGCTTATTTTAGGTGTTATCTATAAAAGGATTTCTCCCGTGGCCACCTCCCACCAAACAAACGCTCCCACACCTCTTAAAAGCAGAGCACGATTTATACTTTTTAAAGGACAGTCTACCTGATTTACATACATTCGGTATTTGTCTCTCTGATTTGACTGTAAACTCCTTCAGGACTAGAATTGTGTCTTCTCGCTTTTAATAACACCCAAAGCACCTAATACAATAAATTAATTTTTCATAGTATAATCTTTAAATATTGGTTGATGTGAGGCCTGTAAAGGTTAAGTACTTGAGGACACACAATTTTCTCATGACAAAGCATAGACCAAATCTCAGAGTTTGTATGGGAAAATGGTCTTTTCATTTTGGGATTATATCTAAAGGAATTTCTATGCTGCTAAAATATTCACAGAACAACTTGTTTTCACCTACAGAAGACTCTGAGAACAGCAACATGTCAACACAGACTGTTATTATTTGAAAATGCCCTCACCCATAGGTACTCTTCTCCTTTTCCAAACGTAAGGTCAATATTCTTTATTGAAAACTAGAACACAACTTTATTTAATCTATTATTAGAACATGGAAAAATGACCTAATTAAACTTT